GGGGGTATTAAGATCAGAGTATGTCCCGCCAGTCAAAGCTTAAAGGTTGGGAGTTTCAGGAGGGGGCGCCATACATCCAGTCACTATTATTGTCCCCCCACCCCTTGTTCTTGATGTTGTCCGACATGAGAGGAGCTGTCTCTCTCTCTCTCTCTCTCTCTCTCTCCTCCTCCTCTTCTTCCTCCTCCTCTCTCCAGGGTGATGTCTTGAGTTGCTGATGGAGAGACAGGCCTCTTAAACATTGGGTCCTTTGATCGTTCCCGCCTCCTGTAGTCTCGGGGAGGTGTACGCTGACGCGGCCAGACACATTGCTGCCTCGCAGAAGCCCGGCAGACCCTGCGCGCCTGCCTTACCAGGGCGACCTGCCTCTCCGGCTGATCCCTGAGGTCCTCTCTCACCGTGCCTGCCATCCTGAGCCACACCATCCAGACCAGGAGGACCTTTGGTGGGGGTAAATATAACGGATCAAGTTTCTGGACTACATGTGTGCACTGTATGTGTTCATACATTGCAGTTGTGTGTATGTGCATAGAGTGTGTGAGTTTGAATTAGTGTCTGCTTCTGCTATTACATTCACGAGCATCTGTTAAATGACTGGAGTTAATGATGCTTTTAAAATGCCTTTGAGCAGCTTCTCCTGTCACAGACACTGTAATGTCAAGTCCTTCACTTACTTATTGTAATGGAGGGGCCACTACATTGAACCCCACCCCCAACAAACACATGTACATGCACATGGACATTGTAGTCCTCAACCAAACATTATGAAGCTGTTGAGAAACGGTGGTATGGGGCCTCATTAGGGGGTTTTTGACCATCGTTGCAGTCTTCTGTACTTAACTGATCACAGAATTGAATTGTCATTGCCATTCTTGGGTAATTTCAGATAATTGCCCACTTTGCCTCTAAGATTGCCCTGGTTTTATGTGCATAGATCTTGCAGACTTTCATCCAGACTCTTTTACCTTGTATTCCAGGAGGTCCTGGTGGTCCTGGGTGAGGTTTACCTAGATCTCCCCTCTCTCCCTTTGCTCCTCTCTTTCCTGTGGAGCATATAAATTAATCAGATAAAAGTCTCTAATTTCAACATACATTTCAACAGAAGTAGTGTTTATCTACCTTTAAGCCCCGTGTTTCCAATCTGTCCAGGTGCTCCAATCATGCCAGGGATGCCCCGGGTACCAGGCAGGCCATGTGGCCCCTGAGGGCCAGATGAACCTGGAGGTCCAGGAGGCCCAGGAGGTCCCATCACACCCGCGCCGCCCAGCACAGCCCTCTTGGCACTCACCGCCACTGCGGCTAGCCTCTCTGTAACCCAAGAGAAGGAATCATCATTTTGATTAAATTACCGTCTTATGACGGGCAACTGATTGCTCAGGAGATGAAAGTAGTTCTGGGAAATGAGCTAATCTAATCTCCCCTATGCACATCAAAGCTGAAAATTCAGGTCCAGACGCTCACCCTGCAACATCTTCAACACCACTTCGATTATATGCTGGTCGGATGCATCACGCCCCTGGAGCAAGGAAGAGGAGACTGAGCATCACAAAGAGACAGAAACCAACATGTCTGCGTATCTAGAATCTATACTGTAACATGGACTTACAGTTGATCCCTGAATACCAGGCATGCCAGGTACTCCTCGCTCGCCGTTGAGTCCCCTCGGACCAGGAAGCCCTGGTGGTCCCTGATCTCCTGGTTTACCAGGATCTCCAGTGGGTCCGTTGTGTCCAGAGTCACCCCTAATTCCTTGCTGTTAAGATAAGCGGATTTAGGAAGGATAAGCGCATTTAGGAAAATGGATGATGGAAAAATTGAGTTTGATGCTCACCTGTCCTTTGGGCCCAGGTTCACCAGACAAACCCTGTCACAGCAAAGAGACACACAGACATTTATCATTTCTGCCTCAGAGACACTCATTGAGCAATAATTCATCAATGAATATTGTAAATGAATGTCTAAAAAAATCAGGCTTCGAAGAGCCAACATGCATCGTTGCTCCACTGTCGTGTAAATAGCTCATTTGCCATCTGGATTATTATGGGGATTTGTATGCAAATTCAAAAGCAGACTTCCTCTTCTTCCTAACGTCTGCACGGCGATAACAATTTCTACCATATATCACTCTGCTCTGCTGCCTTTAGAACCAAATGTATAAATATTTTTGTGGTCTCTTCGGAAAAAAATAAACAGTTTGAAACGGCTGAGGCTTGAGCTACCGTGAATTTTTACCTTTTCACCTTTCTCACCAGCCAGTCCCTCAACGCCGGGGTCACCCTAAAAAAAGTGACAGAAAGGAGAAGATGAAGAGTGGTGAGGGAGAGGGATGACTTTGGAAATATTTTTGGAAGAGTGAAGCTGGTGTATGAGATGTATGAGGCCTCAGACAGTCCAGTTTGAAAGAGGAGAACTGCAACTCACAACGTCTCCCTTTGAGCCGCCTTTTCCTTGGAAGCCCTGCAAAGAAAGATGGTTTGAGATCATGTAACATGATCGAATTTTAATATCAGACGCGTTGACTGACAAAGTAAAGAAGAGAAGTTTAATTAGCTCGCCATGCACTTCATTTTGTTGCAACATTTAAAAAAGCAAATTGTTTTAAAGTTGTTCTAAAATATTGCTTATGTATACAGTTTGCCTCATTCACTGATTTAATGTGGACTTATGGGACTTTTATTCATGGTTAAACAGTGCCCCCAATGGACAAGTCTATGTAACTGTCTATGAGGTATGTTTGAAAATAGGAAATGATGTACAGTACATGTCTCACACATAAAAATTGTTCATTTGTCCGTGCACATACACTTACCTTGTCTCCCTTGGTTCCACTAAGGCCCTGTGCACCTGGCATTCCCATGGGTCCTCTCTCTCCTTTGCTCCCCTGTTTGGACGTCACATAAGTAGTATCAGAACTAAAACCTGACAATCAGCTTGAAATAGTTTGTAAGACCTGACTCATAAATACAAAGACACAATGTAACCTACAGGTTTGCCGACTGCTCCCTGTGGCCCAACCGGTCCCCGCTGGCCTCTGTCGCCCTGCAGGAGTCAACAAAAGGTGAGTGAATGTGGTTTTAAAGCAGCAGCGGTTTTGCATTTTTAATGTAACTGTGGATTTGTACCTTAGGCCCAGGTACTCCTTCCATACCAGCCTCACCAGGAAGACCAGGCTCACCCTAGGAGGATGCAAAAGTACAATTAATCACTGTAACTGCACAACATACAGTATGAAAGCAACTGTAATCCCTTAAGAGTGGTTGCATGTTTACCAGAGGTCCAGGCGCACCAGACATGCCACCATGTCCTCGAGGTCCAGGCTCACCCTAAACAGAAATATATAATTAAAAAGAAGAAAAGGTCCATATAAAATAATGCAATTAGTTGGTAAAAGCTTTACCTTAGCTCCAGCTCCACCTTTAGCCCCAGGACTGCCAGGCAACCCCTACGGAGAGAATAAACATGACTAAAATAAGAGGAAATCCAAAGTTGCATTCATATCCTGTATCTGGCATCCCGGCTTTTGTGTCGTAAAGATGAAACCAATGTAGTTACATCATCCCTGGACTGATTCCAGCAGGAGACATTAGCTGTATGTTTCTAAAAGAAAACTTCTGTATCTTGTAATCTGACAGTGTGTTGCACACTTGATTTAATGTGTGTGAAATATACAGAGAGTGTGACCTCTGTACTATAACCTGAAAACACTGTTGGGAAATGGATGTGGATATTAGTGTGTGGGTGCAGGTGAATAGGTGGTTATAAAAGTCATGCCTGAAATTAATGACAATATTAATGATAATGAGAATAGGTAGAGCATGTGTGTGTATATATATATGTGTGTGTGTGTGTGTGTGTGTGTGACATCAGGGCATAAAGCAGGCTAACTTGTGGTACTTGAGTTTGCAACAGTGTCAGAGTTACTGCAATGACCACACAGAAAAAGTGTGCCTCTCATGCTCCATTACTCCTTGGTCAGAATGACGCACACAAACACACAGGCAAATATACACAATTGTCTGATTGTGATGAATCGCTCGCAGTGGGAGGGAGAACACTGTTTCAAGGTGGTTTAAATTCTAAAAGCGCGCCGGCCACAGGGTCACTGTAAACCTGGATAAGAGCCCAGAAAACAAAACATATAAGCTGCTTTGAGCCTGTTTCCTTCCGTCTGTGTTCTGGCTTAGATGATTTGAGGAGAAGAAAAAGACTGAAGCCACTACGTGGACTGAGTTGACAATAAGCATTTACAGACAGGCTTATTTGCATGTGCCTTTTAGTGGCAGTATTGAACAATCCTCAGACAAAAATAATCTTCCCCGCGGCAGTACACTGAAGGATCACTCACCGCTGCTCCCTGAGGACCGGGAGGACCTGGCATCCCAGCCTGACCGGGGCCGCCCTGCAGGAGGGAGAACAGACGAAGAATTAATTGCCGTCTTTTACAGAGATTGAAGTTGCTCATAATTATCGCGGCTGGCAGCCCTTACCTTGATTCCAGGAGTACCAGGTGTGCCATCTTTTCCATCAATACCCGGCAGACCCTGCAAAAAGCAGACAGATGAGTCAGTGGACTTTTTTTGGCAACCTCTCCGAACACGGCTGTGTGGCACATAAACAAAAGTGTGATCACTCACATTCTCTCCCTTTTTGCCGACCGCACCCTGTGGGCCCTGGATACCTCGGTTGCCCTGCGAAGGATAAGCAAATCAGCGCCAGTGTGTTTTCATAAAGCACATCGGGATCACAGTCCCCATTTGAGTTCTGAGAATTTTTTTTTTTTGTCTTGTGCCATGTAGCTTTGGCAAAAAACTTAGGAGAGTCACCTACTTTGTCTCCCTTGTCTCCTGCCTCTCCGGGTGGTCCCTGAGGTCCCTCCTCGCCCTGCAAACAACAAAGAGAGACTTAAAGCACCTGAGAAACCTGTTATTCTATTATTAGTCAAGTCATTTTGTGTGTGTTCTTACAGGAGGTCCGGGAATTCCAACAGGTCCGTTGATGCCCTTGTAACCGCGAGGCCCCTACAGGAAAACAAAAAAGTGCCATTAATCACCTCAGATCAGGGAGGATGCTAAGTTGTGGTAGCCTACGATTCATTGTGATAAAGGGCTAATTAGTGCTTAACTCACTTCACTAATGGGAGCTACACAGAGTGCCAGCCACTCTTGCTTTGGCACTAAGCCGGGGCGCTAACTTGGCTAACGCGGCTAATGTTAACAGTAAGACGGATGGCTACAGCGGGTCATTAACTACAGATGGAGGCACCGTGGACCCAGACAACCCCAACTCATTAGAGGGAGGGGAGAGATTTGTGTTAGCATCATTTCCATATGTCCCCATTGCCGTTAATGGATGATGTTTGTATAGTGGGCAAAGGTTTGGCTGTGGCTCCTTATTGGTGCTTGTCTAAGAATGAGAGCAGCATTGTACCCGCAGAGAAAGAGGACAAAGTATAAGTTAGTGAATAAGAAAAAAGAAATGTGGTACTCACTGCTTCTCCTTTAGGACCCATCATTCCTGGATAACCCCTCAGACCCGTCGGACCCTGATGAAGAAGCAAAGAACAGCAAAGTAACAAAGCTGACCTTGACCACGACCACACTAAAAATGACAGAACACTGGGTTCTGTCAGTACAAGATGATACTATGTGAAAACAATACAATATTAGCCTGTATTTCTAACTTTGCCAGGTGACTGAAAGTTGAATTTTCAGCGTACCGGAGGTCCTGGGATGCCTTGTTCCCCAGAGATGCCCAATTCTCCCCTGAGGCCCTGGTGGAGGAGATAAAAAGACAAGGCTGATTGGTTATTCTTATTCTGTGCTGCTCTCTGTAGCACATGCTCCTGCTACCAATCAGATCACATTCAAAGAATTTTCATAAACTTGGAGGAGGTATTTTTCCGTAATGTTTAATGTTTCCAACAATTAATGGAAAGGTTAGTCAAACAACCATCAACACGTGGTCATAGAAGATGAACTCATTTAAATAATGGATCTGTGTTATTGTAGGAATAGTTTTGGTTTCTTGCAGAGATTTAGCAGAGCTGTAGCCTATCATGTCTTTGTACATGGAGCTGGAGAAAGGGGTTATGAGTTTGGTTTTGCACAAATAGCAATTGGCTTTGCTTGGGACAAAGTTTGAAAATGTGCTTACTATCATCTCTAAAGGTCACTAAATAACCTTTAACCAAAACGGCAAGTTGGTTTGTGGGGTGTTGCCTACTGTCACAATTTTTTGGCCAGGCCAGTGACTTCCTGTAGACTTTTTTGAACACTAAAAGCTAAACTACCAGTCGAGAAAATAACAACATAAGTAAATAACTAATGATTATTTAGGGGGCGTAATTTTGAACTTTGGTTCGGGTTAGCTGTTTCCTCTGCTTCCAATCTTTACGCTAAGCAAACCTAGGCCAAGCTAAACTAAAATAAGCTAAGCTAAGCTGATTGCATCTTTCTCTACTTACAAAAAAGATATTTTGAACTAATCTTATTGCAACTGTCACAACCATCTCATAATTTCGGTCCAGTTAAAGAAGAAAAACCCATCAAAAGTGGACCTCAGCTTATCATCCAGTTTGAGCGCTGGTCTAGTTTTATATTTTTCAGCATGCCAGAGATAAATGTGATACTGATCTTGCATCACAGAGTCATCAGTAATGCACCAACTCACAGCGACGGCACATTTTTCACAGATGGTAACAGCTAGTGGGGACGTAAACAGCTTGTGCACACTGTCTTCAAGGAGAAGAAAGAAGGAGCAGCACCGTAGAGCGGCCTTGAGTACAGGCAGGTCTTCTAAAATACTCGGTTTAGAGCGTCTAAGCACTGCCAGCAGACTCCTTGTGTGGGAAGATCAGAGGCTAATTCCTGGGGCTTGGCTCACCGCTCCCTTGGAGCCCACCGTGTGCTCATTAGCTCTGTTTAATACAGCGAGGTGAGAGGGCTGCATGAACCCTGACTCTCTCATCCTCCCCTTTATGTACCTGCATCTTCGCCACAACTTTCATCTGGCTCCTGTCTGCAGGGCCGAGGCCAGGCCTGACTAATCGCAGCCAGATTAGTGCCAGTCATGTGCCTCGGGGGGCTTCATTAGAGCTAATCCTTGCTTCTCCTGGTCCAGAATGGTGGGCGAGTAGTGCGAGACTGTGCAACATTTTCAAGAATAAGTGTTTGAGTGCTTTCGTGGATGCTCTCTAGCAGCAGATTGTGCAACTCACCGTTTTTCCTATGCTGCCAGGCTCTCCAAGAACACCTGCACGTCCTTTGTGTCCCTAGAAGGCAAAAAATAAGTCAGTCAGGTGTCGGAACAATTTTCTAACATAACATAATCATCAAACTCCCTAGGAGCAATCAACTTCAGGCATAGCACTCACCTTGACACCCTGTAGTCCCTGAGGGCCTTTTGGTCCTGCTGGACAGTTAAGAGGACACTGTTGAGAGAGAGAGAGAAAGTGAGAGAGAGAGATTTGCAGATTATGAAAAGTGGAAGCGCATCAAAACAAATTTGCAAGACAGTAGATGTCATCTAATCTCACCTGGAAGTCTGCACTCCCCTCCTCTCCACCGATGAACTTCCCTGGAGGACCCTTGATGGACAGAAAGACAGAGAAATAGGTGGATGTCTGAAAAAAGTCACCTGGTGACAGTTGCTCTTGCCAGCACTCTTGCGTTTTCTCTCTCTCCCTCTCTCTCACAATTTGTCCCTCCATCTTTCCCTCTCTCTCTCTGTTTATAGATTGAGTTAGAAAGAGCAGTATCTCTAGAGGGGCTGATGTATTCCTGCTACAGTCAGATGAGACAGCCCAATGATCTAATGGGGGTTTATTTACCCTAGGACAGCACTAAAGCTAAACAAATACACTCTCCTGGGCTGGGACCATCACTCTCAATGAAGACACCGCCTCCTCCCCCTCCCATTCTTAGAACTACACCATTGGAAAATAGACTTGAAAGTGTACTGCTCAAAAGTGTTTGTGATATCTCTCCACTTGGTGTCTGCTGGGACCTGTTCATGCAGCAGTGAGCTCTGGCTGTTTTACATGTTTTTGTTATCATACACTACTTAAAAAAAGGGAAATAAAGATTATATTTGCTGGTAATTCTGCAGAAAAGATCATATTTCAACATTGGCAGATGTGATGGTGAGTTTTGTCTTTGCCTCACTTTTACAATGTGACCACGTTTCTATAAAATTCGTCAACTGCAATTAAACTGGTGTCACTACATGGTTGATTAAGCCCAGTGAGCGACTGGTAGCTCATTTATCTCACACAGCTGATATCACCATTCTCAACAAAAAAAAATAGAAGACCGTCGTCTGTCACAGATATGAAATGATTTACTGAGACATCTTTTCTATGATTGAAGTTTTAGTGTATTGCTATTAGAGCTAAACTGATGAATCTCCTGGACCGATAGATTAGCTGATATTAGCTAAGTGCAGATGAGCCAATATAATCAGAATTTACAGCACAGATGTGACGAAGATTATGGTGAAGCTGATCAGGATAAGGGGCCGCAGTCGTCAACCACAGCACTGATTAGTTTATTTTTCAATGTAAAATGTCCAGCTCAATTTCTTGTTCAAAATTATCAATAGAGGATCATTATCAAAAATGTGTCTTTACCTTATGTATTTTTAAGTTACAAAATGGCTGCTATATTGTTAAAAGATTTTATAAAAATTGCAGAAGTGTTATTAGCCTGAAAAGTCAAGTATTCATTTAACTACAGTTTTTTGCTAATTCTAACTATCTAGTTCTTCATCTTCTTCAACCAGGCTGTGTTAACATTGAAATTAAGGGGCTGGGAGAAATGTACATAAGAAATGTATGTAACTAATGTTTATTTTATGAATATTTGGAGCTTAAAGTTCTAACGTATCTTTGAAAGGCTGTGAGCTTGAAACATTTAGAATAAAACAACAGATGTAGCAGCTGCAAGTTACACAGTCCTGGGCAGAGTTTTTGTTCTTTAATGTATTGTCTGCTGTAATTTTACCGCATCATTTAATAAGACTACTTTTTTTATTATCATCACGTTTGTCCAATTAGAAGAAAAGATTCGAAGATTTGATTAATGAAATGCGTCCTGGTTGGACACTTACAGGCTTGCCAGGAGGCCCAGGAAGTCCTGGAGGTCCAGGTGGTCCCATGACACCCTGAATACAGCGGAGGAAAGGAGGGAAACTAATTTAAAACTGAAAAGGTGAAGATGTGAGCTGCGCATTACATGTTAATATTGTTTTATAATCCTGAAGGAAGCATTATAAACTGAAGCCGGTTTCTTACCTTTGGCCCATTTGCCCCAATTTCACCCGGAAGACCAATTGCCCCGAGAGCTCCCTACAAAGAGAGACACACAGAACCAGTTATGATACACACCCAACATCCCACAGAATGATTTCCACACCTCAAGCTAAAGCTATTAAGTGATAAAGGCATAATTATATTATATCAAACAAGCTACTTACAGCCAGTCCTGGAAGGCCTGATCCCTGCGAGGACGGAATAGACAAAGGGTTAATCACTCAAGAAACAAGTGGAACCAATCCGTCAAAGTATCAATTAACGTTGGCGAAAGCCAATTAATAACAGTAGCGTTAATTCAGTAATGCGTGCATGCGGTGTCAGAGTGCAGGATAAACAGTGCTCAGGAAGAACAAAGACGCAGAATGCAATCAGTTAATGTTTACTGTGTCTTTTGCTTGGAATTAATTATAAACACAGCATAAGCCTTGCTGAAGGAAGAACATCCCACAGGGCAGGATCTCCTGTCTGGGAGAGTGTACAACACCACACGACACGATACGACACAACACAACACAAAACACGACACAGCACAGCACAATACAACACAGTAAACACCTACAACACACCTACTAATGCCGCAAAAAGGATTTAACATATAGTGTTGCATGTGTGACTCTAAGTTTTAAACACACTGAATGCTGTGTGATAGATGGACACAGAGCACCACCTAGTGGCGCCCCACTGTATTACACATGCCCACTTTGCACTGTTTGAATGACTGGCCTTGCCTTTGCTGGAGCATTAAGTCAGTGGTAGCATCGGAGCATAATGTGAACACAACATGTGGATCACAGACGACGCGTTGCTTCTTTAGTGCGGGTGGTGTGCAGGATTAAGGCTCATGTCAGCTGTAGGAAGCATATGCCACATCTGGACAGATTGAACCCAAAAGAGGACACAGCTGGTCCGGCATTCAAGCATGAAGACACAAAGGGAGTCGGGAGTTTGCTGTACGAGAGCAGCTGGATCACAGTATGTTGAGGATTTGGCTTCAAACCTAATATTTAATTCAGTCATGAGTCAGCTCCTAAGTATCATGTCAGCCCTACTAGATGAGGTGATCTGATTTATCAAAGCTTATAAAAATATACACTCTATATCTATTTAAGTACAGTTTTGAGGTATTTGTACATTGCTTGATTATATCAATTTTATGCAATATTACACTTCTACTTCAATTTCAGATGAATGCATTGCACATTCTGACCGCTACACTTCGGACTGTGCTTAAAATTCATGGGGTGGCGTATAGTTCATCTGGTAGAGCTGCCACCCCAACAAGGCAAGGCCTCAACCAGCAGAGACCCAAGTTCAATTCTGACCTGCAGCCATGTATACATGTCCTCCCCCACTCTCTCTCTATCTACCTTTCACAAGCGTACTCTGTCCTATCTGTCCTATTAATAAAGTACTTCTGATTCTGATCCATTATAAGCAATTAAAAGCCCCAAAAATACGTAAAAAAGTGATGATTCATGTGTCAAATATGATACACAACAGCTTATTAAAATGTTCAACTTGTGACGCCTTAGAGAAAAATCAAGGTCTGGTTCAGGCTCCATAAGTTCTTTATCAGTTGAGATATCTTTGTTGAAATAATTGTAAAAGGCCCACAAACTGCAGCAAAGCAGAGAAAATTCAGAAAAATGAGAAGGAGAAGGAGTGTACAGACATTTCACTTCTTAGCTGTGTCAGAGGAGTTGAAGCTGTGAGGCTGTGGCACAGCGCCATCTAGCGGTGTGCAAGAAGTATAACATCCATCAAAGAGTGCATAGTCAGTGCATAAAAGCCTAACAATGACTGTTTTAGATGTTCTTTTTATGGTGGGCAACCTTTGATGCATGTTGCTGATTATACTTCTGTACTTTTGTAAGTGAGAGTGATTTTACATTGTTCAATAGTTATTTTTACTTCAAGTAAAGCATTTATGTACGTTCTGTTTTTAGTGTAAATACAATATATTTATTGAATGTATTCACTCATCATACTAAAAATGTACTTACAGGAGGGCCGGGCTCACCACTTGGTCCAGGTTGACCCTGAAGACGACAGTAAACAAATATATAAATACAGAGGTAACACGTTTGTCTCCCACACAAAATAAATGACGACAATATTACCAGTATAAAATGGCGTACTGAAGGTGAAACAATATTTTATCACAAAAATATTCAGAGACAAAACAATTATCATAATCTTCTCAGAGACAAGATAAAATGAAAATGACTCTTGTAAAACCGACCCTGGTGAATTATGAAAGTTTTATTCCATCAACAATAACAACAAGAGATGAGACATGCTAATGTTTGAGATACAGGTTTTCCACAGAGCAGCAGTGTAATCAGATGTAATAATAATATTTCCAGGTGGAGGTTTAGACACTTGCCTTAGGGCCAGGGCTCCCAACAGGACCTCGGTCACCCTTTGCTCCGATCAAACCCTGGAGACAAGCAGGGAGAAGTGATAAAGTCAATACGTATAGAAAGGAAAACCACTGAGGAGGTTAAAGAGTATATGATCAGTTACCAGT